TTGTTATTATTATTATTATTATTATTATTATTAGAACTGGAAAAGTAAAAACTACAAGTTTTTGAAGGATGGAGGGAAGGGCTACGGAACAAGAAATGTGTTTTAGTCTTCAGGGGAGATTATTTGCAACGTTAGAGTCAATGTGAAACCTTTTCTTCTTTGGCATAATTTGGTACCTATTTGGGAAAACATTTTTAATGAATACAGCCAAAATTTAATCTTGCATCAATATGTACTGAGTAATTCATTTCACAGTAATAGGACGCAAATGGAATAATTTAGCATCAGTAACAGGTTGAGTAACTTGAACTCAGTCCTACTTTGAAAGCTTTGAAAGGCACGTGCACTTGGAGAGAGTATAGCAGCAATGAAAGGTTTAAAAGTCCCCCTAAGGTCTTTATGAAACAAACACCTATTAATCATGTTCATCTTTTCTTCCCATCTCTCATTTTCTTTCTAAATTCCTTACTTCTCATCCGTAGTAAACTGTCAGTTGAAAAGTTTCCACTAATCTGATTTACACAGGGAATATTTTGCAGAGAAGAACTGTGCAAATGTTAAACAATATTAACACCCAACCTCATTATGTTTATTACACATGTTTTATGACCCAGTATAGTACTGATTGTTAATACCCTAGTAGAATTTGAGTCTAGAACTCTAATCATATTTAATTTAGTGTCAAACAAGAAAGTACTAATGCCTGAGCATGGCTTTTTAAATGTTATTTTAAAAGAGAAGAGTAAACACAAGTGGTTGTGAGTTTATGGGCATAAAACTTAGGAAATTCATGAGGATTGTTTCCATATAACTGTCCTGTTACTCTCTTGCCCATATGTAAGTACTTTCTTTTAGAGGATGTTTGTACGTTTCTGCCTGAATATATTCATGTGTTAGGCCCAAGTGCTGGGTACATTTCCAGCTCACACAAAAATTTTAAACATACTTTTCTGATGCTGGAAAAACTGCATTTTCCTGCTGCAGGTACATTTATTTCAACTACCTTCAAAGAAGGCACAGGATTAAACATTTGTTTGAATGTAAAATATATGTATCTTTGACAAGTCATTGAAATAGAAAAGTATGATCATTAAAAGACATATTTGCTCATGATTACTCAGATGTAGACTTACTTGGTGGCTACCATAAAGTCAATGCATTTTAGATTGTTAGAAAAACTATGTATAAACATATTCTACAAGTGTGGAAAAAAATCTTTAAAATTTTTGCTTTAATCACTGAAAAAGTATTGGAATTTACATTAAACTTAAAAAAAATCTGCAGACTCAAAGCCAATAGACTAAATTTGTCCTATAAATAGCCTTCAAAAAGAACAATTATGTGCAGCTAAAAATAACAATATTAAAACATATTCATGTTAATAAATTATCTTGCCATATAAACTGCTAATATTAAGTATAGGATACTAATAAATTTTTCTTTTTTGAGAATCTGGAAATTATGTCAAGAACAATGTCTTAAAGTTTCAAAACACATCATATACTTTGAATTGGTTAATATTTTTATTCTTAAATTTGTTTTAGAAACCAACTTAATATTGGTCCCTGTACTGTAATTGCAATTAAAATGAACTGGGATTTTTTATAGGCTCTCAGTGGTCAGCTTTCACCAAAGGCCTTATTGCTGCATTTGTTAACTTTGTGAATTCAAATATTTTCTTTTTTAGAGTGTTTAAGTATTTTTGCTTTTGTTCAAAGAAAACTGAAAGAAGGTATTCCTTTAATTGAAGAGTTCATTGAACATCCATTGGGAGCGGGGAAAAACAATATGCTTAAGAGCCAATGTGACAGGCAGAAGTTTTAACTGGCAAGTATACTATGCCAATCTATGTAACAGAGAATCTATTTTACTTCTACCCATCAAAAAAACCCTGCTCATTTTCTACAGAGAAAAAATTTAAAATATTTAAAAACTACACATACACAAGAAAACATCAATACTGATTGTTTGATCTTAAAACTTTGGGGTATCTATTAATTAAAATAGAATTGTTGTTTTAAGCTATTTAAACCACAAATGGACAATTGAAAGAAGTATTTGAGTTATGCATGACCTTTGGAAATATAGGTCAAAAAGCATTTCTGTGAAGTTTATAAAACATATCCAGATACATTTATTTTATTAAGTAACTTGGTAAGACATAAATTAAGACTTGGAGTTTGGTCAGTTTGTTGTACATTCATAATCACAGTTCAGTGGTTTCAAATTGCATTTCTGACACCTACAATGACAAATACCAAATTGAGTATTCAGAGGAGACAACATAGCTTTTATTTTCAGTTAAATATACAATCAAATTCCTAATGATTTCTAAATAGTCATTGCTATAATAACTAATATACACAAATATATAACATTTTTTTCTCACATAGTGTGAGCCTCATTTGTATATATGGATTCTAAAATAAAATCCAAATTTATTTCAATGATTAGTGTCTTAATGTGTGAGGGAAAGTGAAATGCTAGTTGCATTAGAGAAACAGGAACCACAGGAATGAAAATCAATGACTGTATTCTCTGAAACACAAAACTCATGTTTATGGTTTCATACAAGTTTTCTGGATTTTTCCAAAACTTTTATTAAAGACACTTAGATTAAATAATGTATAGTTCAATCTATTTAAGTAATACTTTTGTCATTTAGTACCACTTAAAAATTTTTGCTTTTTATACAATTGTATCAGGAAAATATAAAATATGAAGCTTAAAATGTAACAGAACAATAAGAAAAATTAAATATTTTAAATCTAAATTTTAAAAGGTTGAGTTATCATGCTATTAAATCTCAAACATTTCCTGAAGAAAGGATATGTAATTTTGTTAAACTTTGCAAATAGGAAATTCTATAGTCAAGATATGGCAAAGAGAATACTTTTGGATTACTGGAGTAAAATTTGGGTGCCATGCCATGGTTTTCTTAGCTACTTGAGTCAGAATAGGAAAATTCAAAAACTAAAGGAACATATATAAGCATCGAATTGTAACTTTATTGTAATCAAATATTTGTATCTAAGCCATCTACTATTTTTAAAATATTTTCTACAGATCAGAAAAATAATGTCTTCCCTGTAGGCTTCAGACTTAGAAAGTTCGATCCCTTATTTTGAAGTAAAGCAATTAAAGAAAGTAGGCTAGGTTTTCCCTTCATGAGAATATCAAAGTCATATAAAGTTATGAAGTCTTCATCTAGGAAGAAATGAAGAATTGCTTTATAAAGAGGAAATGAAAATAAACAATGCAATTTGATGGTTGCAAAGTTTAAAGGTAAGGAAATTAGGAAGAAATGAAAAAGAAAGCAATAACATCCCATGTAATAATCAATGAGAAAAAATAGATTAAATTGTGTCTTAGAATTTCTCTACACAAATAGGAAACATTAATCTGCCTTTAAATTCAGTAACTGATTATCATTTACTTATCATTTCTATGGATTATAAAAAGTAAATTTACTCCTGAAATCACATAATTTAAACCCAAATTACCAGTGAACTAATGTGAAAACTGGAGCTGGTCAATTACCTAACAAATTCTGTCAAATAGACAATTTAGATAATAATCATAGTCAGCCCCTCAACAGCAAGTTGATTTTTTTCCTGCTATTTTATGAAGATTGCCACTTCAGTTTTCTACATCATGGATTTGGTATTAGCCAGAATGAGGCATCCTTTAGCTATAAGAACGTAAAAGAGAAGCATAGACATGTTGAAACGAGTTCACTTTGATGAATACATCTACTTCTTCCATATGTGTGAAGATCATTCTTTAAATTGCTAGTATATGTTTTTAAAGAGAGGGAGAAGGATGGAGAGAGGAAAAAAGGAAAGAAAGAGAAAGGAAAGAAGGAAGGGAAAAGAAGAAAGTAGGCTGGGTTTTCCTTCATGAGGAGAAAAATCACAGAAAGCAATACTCCAAGTAGAAGATCATCTGTCCTGTCCAGAATCTAATCAGTTTCAGTATGTTCTACATTTAGACTATCATAGCAGAGAATAACTAACAGATTTCCTTTCTATTTTGGTCCTAGATTTGGAATATATTCTAACACTGTATTTTCTCATACCTCAGAAATTAGAGTTTTGGCCAGATCTGTGAATTCCAGCAAAACACTGAACAAATGGGCCTATAATATGGAATATTGTGTCTATAGTGATAATTTTTTAAAGTTTATATTTTGAAAGCATGCTTTTACATACTAAAATTGGAAATTTAAGTAATGTATAAATATCCACATTTATTTCACTTAAGGGTACATAATTTTGCAAAGAAATTGAAAGGAGTATTTTGTAAATTAAAACTCAGGTAACAGGAATATGTACTTGCTTATAAACTGTGAGATTTGACCATATTCACATTTCAAATGAAGCATTCCAGGATGAAAGCTATATGTATAAGGGATGATCTTAATTAAATATTTTACAAAAACTAAGAAAAATTATTCCAAATGTAGTTTTGACTCATTTAGAGTAAAAATTTAGACAAAAATTAATACTTTTTAAAAGTTTGTC